AGGACACTGCTGAGGGGAGCAGCGGGCGGCAGGAGAGGTCTATGCGCCATGTGGGACCCTCGCCCTGTGGCCAGGGATCGAACCGGCGCTGCATAGGCTACAGGCAGCTTCGCAGCCCAGCGCTCAACCGCTGCGCCACCGGGGATGCCCTATTAAGTCACTTTTTATGTCACTATTACTGAATATATAAGGGATTAAGTAACTGAAGGTCATTAGCTTGGCTTTAATTGCACAACGTATACGTAGGTCTGGGCTTAGCAAGTGTGAATTAGTCAACAAATATAATCTTCACTGGAAAAGGCTGTGACAGTTGTGTAGGCCTCTCTCCTTTCCTGTGAAAAACTATTATAGAAGAGCTATTATTTTTGTCTTCCCTGAAAAGCTTTCCTCTTCTGAAAATAGCATCTTGATTTTCCATTGGCAACTCAGTCCACATGGTCAAAAAGGGAGGGAGTGTTGACTTCACACCCACCCTTCTCTTCTCTCCAGGATGTGCCAGTGACGCAGACCTGGCCTGAGAAAGTATTACATGTGGTGACCACCGAGTCTTGTGCAGGGGGAACACGTGACTTGGTGCTGGCAAATGGCGGTGCTGCTTTTCCACGGCCATAGCTTCAGGGGAGGTGCCTGATGCAAGCTCAAGTGAATCTCAGCAATTGCCGGGTTATCGGAAAGCAGAAACTCTTCCCACTGGTGTGGCTAGGGGGTGTGGTGTGCGACCAGACCTGTGAATTGTCACCTGTGCCATCATCGCAGGAATGACTTGCTTGAGCATGAAGCCAACATGCTGCATGCAGAACTGAGGGATGAATTCCTGACAGCAGCGTCTAGGGCTTCTGGATTTAGCTATGCCTGAGTCTAGAATTAGACTGAACCCACTCATTTCCTTTTGGATTAAGTAATTAAAGTTTATTTTTTGTCACTTAAAATTGAGCGCTCTCCCTAATAGAATTCTTTTTGTTAATTAACGAGTACTTAGCAGCTGACTCTGGGATACATCTAGAGACAGGGCCCTCGCTATTTTGTGAAGTTTCATATCCTTTGTGAGGAAAATCCTACTTTGACCCCAAACTGATCTCTTCTCACTGGTCCTGGTTGTGTTACAAAGGTCAGGACTTGTAAATGTTCTTCATCTGCTTTTCTGCCTTTTACAAACAGAGTTAATTTTGTGTTAAATCTTCTCGAGTCATATCTCCACTGTCTTTACAGATTGTGTGATTCTCATGTTCCTCGTCAAATGCTTCTGGACTTACAATAGTTGGTCAACATCTTTTAAAACTGTGGCATAACTCACAGGCCTAACGTCTATCATGGTGCTGAAGAGAGCAGAGAGGGGCTATTACCTTGTTCCACCTGCACGACTGACGGCCAGTAAAATGCTTAAGGGGTGCGGGGGATGCATGTGCGAGAATCTGCTTCCGTTTCTATTTTTCCCTCTGCTTCTGTTATTTCACTCCTTCAGAGTTTGTTTTCTCTTCCCGCCTCTGCCTCCGAGGCCCTCTCATGCTCTGCCTCTCTCTTCTCCCTCTAGCCCTGTGGCCCCTCCCCGCTCCCACCAAAGCTGTTCCTTATTACAACAAACAGCAAGGAAAGAAACCGACTTGTACTGGGTTCAAGTAGAAAGTAAGTGATAAGCCTGATGTGCCTCTGCTCTTCGGAGGTGCGCAGTTTTATTTCCATAGACCAAGCCTTCTTGTTTGGCATTGGTTGCAGGTGTGAGGTCTGGCTGTGGTCGAGCCACGGCAGGAGGGCCTTTATTCAAGTGACACCATGCCTTTTTCTGCTCAGGCCCTTTGCCCTGCATTCCTAAGCCTGCTTCCACCCCCTGTCCCAGCGCCTGCCCTCACCCAGCCACCTGCTCTTTGGTGTGGGGACATCCACCGTGCTTTTGCCTTGTTATTCTTAAAGAAGCAAAGTGGCACGTGTTCCCAAGAGAGGGCATATTGCACAAAGACAATAAAGCTAAGGCAAGAACTTGGAAGCTGTCTCTGTTTCCCCAGGGAAACGCACTGAAAGGACAAGAGCATTCAGGATGGTGTCTGAGATAAAAAGGAAGGTTATGTATTTTACATATTCTATCCCTTCGAGCACCTCTCTGGGACCTGTTAACGGCTAAGTCCAAGTCTATAAGTTTGACACATCAACCCGTCCCTCTGAGACTATCATTTAAATGACTGAAAACAACAGATCGATTTCTATTTTCATTTCACACACATTGATTCTATCTGGATTTAGCATTCCTTCCATATTGCTGATGAGGATCTGTGTGTGTGTGTGCGTGTGTGTGTGTATGAGTGTTTGGCTGTTGTAGTACCCCAAAGACTAGCCCAGTTGCTGGCTCTCAAGAAACTTTTCGTGGTTAGTTAAAAAAAAAAAATGGCCATGTATGTATAAATATACAAAGCAAGCTCACAAAGCTATTTAAAACTGCTCCTCAAAATCCCAGCTCTTTCGCCAGCTTACTGGCCTTTTTCTATAAGACTTATTTTTGGAGGAGAATTTATGATACTGTGGGTCCCATTTTGCACTAAATCCTTCGTTTTGCAGAGGAGCAGAAAACCCTCTTTATGGCCCGGTCTGGCCCTCCTCAGTGCGCCTTGGAAGGAGGGTGCGGGCCAGCATTATGGGGACACCCAATGTGTACACACATTGATGTCCTCAAGCAACGGACGGTTTTCACTGAGCTGGCCTCTCCCCCAAATCGAAAGTTAATTTTTCTCTCAGTTAGTCTTCGTGTTAAGAATCCCTTCCAGATCACTTCCCAGGCTCACTCCATGAAACTGCCACTGGTTGCCGGGAACCGAGGGAGCCCGATGGGGCGGGATACAATGATAAGTCCCCCAGTGTATTTCCTCCTTTGAATAAACAGGTCTTTTCTCAGGGCGCTGTTGGTGGTTTGATCCTTGGCAGTTATGCTCCCCCAAAAACGTGTCTTACAAGAGCCAGCGGTTCTTTCTGGTAGAATGAGCACCTTTCAGAGCCCCTTCTGTTTAGCTTCTTGATTATATGAAGTACATTAAGCCAGTCCAAGCCCATTAACATAATTTTCATGCCTGTTAGTTCTGGCAAAACATACTAGGCAGGAACTGTATGATAAATGAGATAAATAATTTTGATGGAGCAGTGAAATAAAATAAACTTTTGCAAGGTAAGAAAACAAACCCCAACCAGTGGTGTGTGTGGGGAGCAGTTTGTGTTAGGGTGGCATACTGAGGGTGGCCTCTCATCCTGACCATGTTCTGTGGAGAAAGAGCTGCTGTCTCCTTTCAACAATTTTAAAATAAAATATTGTGAAGCCTATTGTCTCTTATTTAGGAGTTGGCATCTGGGCAACGAGTTCTGTGAGAGCCTTTCACATCCTCACCTAGGCCGCCCCTTGCCCCTTCGCCTGAAGAAGAAAGGACAAGGGCAGACAGAAGAAGCGACATTTGTGTAAGTTCATGTTGGGACTTACCAACACCTTGGGGAAGAAATTGTGGGAGGCTGAGTGGGTTATTTCTAACAAGTTTACTTCTGCTCAGTTAGCCATTCACCGATAGTATTGTGTCGACCACGTTAGCAGTCGAATCCGGTTAGTGGATTCTGGGCCAAAAACCAAGCCTTTTTATCAGATGGTCCTGAAAACACTCTTCAAGATGCTCTTACAGTTTATATGTTTCCTCTGATCATGAAAGCTAGAGCGAGCCCCAGAGGGGGCTTGAAAGTTAGGGGTTTTTCCAAAAATGGGCCCAAGATGGACGCTGTCTTCCTGAGCCACCTCCAGGGCAGAGCTATGCTTGGAGGGAGAGGGGCAGTAAAATTCCCTACTTCTGTGCATACCCTGGCACAAGCTTACATGTGCATACATTCTGCCTGTTCCTTTTGTTCCTCAGAGACTGGTCAATGAGGAAAACTCTGGCATTACAGAATTATTAGAACGGTCAATGGATTTCAACTGTGTTTGCTCATGCCGCTGTCACAGACCGGAACTGGCTATATACCACATGTGACAGGAAGCCTTGAGTTTCTGCTTTTAAACACATGGAAAAATCCAGCCTGTGCTTCTACCATCCATAATGCAGCCTAGCTTACCCACAGCTAAATGCACCATTGGGTCTGCTATCATGAGGAAAATCCTCATTGTCTTAATAGTCTGAGGCTGACGACTGCCTTAAAGAGTGCTGGGGATATGGTGGCAGCAGGCTTTCAGGTCTTCCTGAATTCCCCACAAAAAACACAGGACGAATTGGTACTGTATGAATGATAGCTCATTTAAGCTCACGCGCACACACACACACACACACACACACACATTAGGAAAGCCCAGGATCTCAAACGATAAGGAAAAACAGCAACCAGATCATAAGATCAAACATGCGTGGACATGTATGAAAAAAAAACAGGAGCAAGTTTAACCCATGAACCTTAAAACACAAGCCAGAGACCTACAGCTTGTTGCTGTAAGAGTAAGCAGAGGAAGTAACGGGGCTGCATTTGAAGAAAAAGAGAATGGAAGAACCCCAACATAGGAGAAACTGGGGACGGAAGCAGATCAATTTGATAACAATGGGGGCTGTCAGGTATTTGCCCACCCAAAATGCTGCTGACACCCCATCCCCATATTAGGGCTCAAAGTGACTGAAGATCAGGTCTCTGTGAGCAACTGAACTACCCCAGGCTGGCAGCAGCGTAGGGCTCATGCTCAGAGAGGAAGGGAAGGCTCTGACGAAAATGAGTGGTGGGGAAAACAGCAGGAAATCTTAGAAAGAAAGCAGGTAGGGGTGTGTGTGAGAGTGAGTGAGTGTGTGTGTGTTTGAGCATACATGTGGATAATATATGTTACTTTTCAGAACAGCACAAGCTTTATAGAGAATTTGAGAAAACAACACGGGGAGATGGCAGATACTTCACACCTGTTATTAGCATCTTTCATCATTATAATGCAATTGTAATTAGTGAACCAATATTGAGCATATTATGAACTAAAGCCCATGCGGTGTTCAGATTTCCTTAGTTTTTACCTTTTACTGTTCCAGGATCCCAGCTGGATGCCACGTCACATTCATCGTGTCTCTTTAGGATGCCCTTGGCTGTGAGAGTGACTCGGACTTACTTTGTTTGTGATGACCTTGACAGTTTTGAGGAGCACTGGCAGGGTATTTGTAGTTGCCACAAATATAAACAATCTACAAGAACAACAGAGAGAGGCAGAGAGAGAGATATGTAAAGCCAGGAACATTGTATGAACCAAAACTCTGCCTAAAAGTTCAGGAAAACTAATTTTACGTATAAACTGGCAACAGAAAATTATTAAAGTCAAATTCTATGAAAGTTACTATAATCAAAAAGAGAATTGACAGCAAAATAATCTCCATAGGCTATGAAACATCTTAGAAAGACATATGCAAATAAGAGATAAAAATTTCATACGCTATTTCAAAACATGAAGGGACACAAAAATTCAATTTGATTAACTTAGAAGTGACATAGTAGATGTCAAAAGAGAATTTAAAATGAAAGACAACTAGATGACAAGGAATCCAAGCGTGAACAAATACAACAGATCATTCCTTGAGAGAAGCAGAAAGTGAACCGGAGAGAAAATGTAAAGTTCAAAAAGAAATGATGAAAGAAATAAAAGACTGGAGACAATTTGACAAAGACTGAAAATAGAACATACACACATAATAGGTGTTCCTAGAGAAATAAATCAATGCAAGGGAATAAAACAAATACTAAAACCCAGAAAAAGTTCCTGAAATAGAAAAAAACAATTAAAATGACATCTTAAAGGGCCTCCCCGGTGGTGCAGCGGTTCAGTGCTGGGTTGGGAAGCTGCCCGCAGCCTCTGCGGTGCCGGTTCGATCCCCGGCTGCTCCCCGGCCACCGGAGGAGGGTCCCGCATGGCGCGCAGACCTCTCCTGCCTCCCGCTGCTCCCCTCAGCAGTGTACTTCGGTCCTTCTGCCTGCTCTGCTCCCTGCTCTGGCTCTGGTGAATTCTCTCACCCTCCCGCGCTTCTGACTGTACCCAGTGCTTGTATAAATAAATAAAAATAAATCTTAAAAAAAAAAAAAAGAATTTATCTCCCTTTAAAAAAAAAAAAAAGACATCTTAAAAAGCACACACACATGAACCTTGGAATATGGTCCAGAATGATCAATACAAGGAAAATTCTTGTAAAATTAACTAAACTTTAAAGAAAAGGAAAAAAAAAAACCGTTATACTTTATGTATAAAGAAAGAGTGAACAACATGTAAGGAAAATCCAATTAGGTTATCATAAGACTTTTTAACACCCATCCTTTATGCCAAAAGAAAATGGTATAACATATCTAAGATATCCAAACAAAGAAATGGTGTGCCACAATTTTATGTCTAGCAAAAACTGGTTTCTGGGCAAAAGGCACAAAAACTTATAATCAATGTGGAATAACTCAAGAAATACTGGTCCATGAGCCCTGTAAAAACCTTACCTTCCCAGATTTGTGCTGGGAATATTGCTATGAACTTAGGAAGCATCATGATTTTAAAAAATACATATGCATCTAAGGTGTATTTCTTAGCTCTGCTCACTGACAAAGTCTAGGAACAACCAACTCTAGATTCCAAACCTGGGCTTGAAAAAAAAGTTCCCCTCTGAAAGAAAAGAGGGCTTACTAGAAAAATGGAAGAATTCCAGGCTGTACCTGGGACATCCTATAAGTCGAGTGGACTTATTAGGACTAGAAACCAACTGAAAAGGTGTCCACTGACCAAGATGAGCTTTCAAAATGGATAAGAACTGCAAAGCCTTGGAATCTATCAAATATGTTTAAATCTGTAAGTTCATTTATCTTTATATATTCATATATAAACATTCATATGTCATATGTGTATGTAAAATACATACGTACATACAAACATAACTGTCTACACACACATGTACTATGCATATATTGTAGATATACGCATGATGTTGTGCATGTTGGTCATCTTCTGGAGCTAACAGGGACCAATTCATCACTTTGAAAACCCAGTAGATTAGAGGGAAGAATCAAACATTTATCTGCCTTTCCTTTGTGAAACAAAGCAAAAGGTAAGTGGCATAAATAATTAATAATAAACATTACCATTAACAAATGACAATAAAATGATGCAATTTGAAAGGCACAGTTTGGTAGCTTCTAATGAATTAATAAACCCCGACATTGAATCAATGGGCTGCTTACATCAAAAGGAGCAAAAGCCAGACATTACAAGCCTCTTGATGAAAGAACAGAACAACATCGAGAGCTTTGCCAAGCTCAATCTGACTTAGTCTCTGGACCCAGTTGCCAACTTGCAGGAAATAACAAGGACAGAGGAACCTACCGCCCTGCACCAAGGGTCTGTAGTCAGCAAAATCCAGCCTGTGGGAGACTCTGGAGGCTAAATGGCCCGAGATTGTTTCAAAAAGGTAAATAATTAAGGGGGGGAAGGCATGGAGGATAATTTGTAGATTAAAAGAAATGGACAATATTGTATCAGGTGTTCAAGAGTGAGCAAAATTAAATGACAATGTCTCAGGACACACACTTGGGTGATAAAATCGTAAAGAATTACAAGGAAACGGTTGCTTTTAATCTCAGGAGAGGGCCGCTTCCGAAGGAAGGGCAGAGGGCGGGCTGGGCTGGGTCACCAGAGGCACTGCTGGGGCTGCAGCGTTGTGTTTCTTGGCCTGAGTGGAGATCATGGGTTATTCATCCGATAATTACTCACTATGCCTTGCTTTTATTTTGTGGGGGCTTTCTGTAGGTGACCTTGAGGAGCCTTTTGAGAAAGCCCTGAAATCATAGGCGGGGTGTGTGCATGTGTGCATGTATGTGTGTGTGTCTGAGCTTTTCTCTGAGGGAAGGGTGCAAAGTTTTTTTTTTAATTACGCAAGTGACCTCAGTCAGAAGCCCTTAAAAACCGGATGGACCTGAAGGAGCTGCAATGGCCCTCGTGCTACTGGAGCCTGGTGCGGGGTGGAGGAGGCTTCCTCGGGCTTTTGGCTAATGAGGGGAGGGTCCCGCTCTCTGGACTCCTACAGTCTCTTTTCTGACTGGCCATAGAATGGGCTGAGGACTGAGGTGTCCAGAAGATGACCAACATGCACAACATCATGCGTATATCTACAATATATGCATAGTACATGTGTGTGTAGACAGTTATGTTTGTATGTACGTATGTATTTTACATACACATAGATGTATTTTACATACACAAGATGCTCTGAGGATCCTTTTGCTCCCAGTTTATGCTTGTATCTGGTAAGCTGAGGCCTGCTCCTGTCCTGATTGTAAATAGGGGCCTCCAGGACCCCCAGACATCAGGCTGCAGAGGCGCTCCTCCACAGTCCGTGGCACATCGGCTCCACTGCTGCTGCCATCACTCCCCATGCCTGTTACATTCACCCGTGGGCACAGCTCATGGTGGCCCCACAGGACACCCAGGCAATGCTGACTCAGAAGCTCTGGGGGAGGACAGGCTCTGCAGGTTAACGGGCTTCACAGTGATGCTCACTCAGAATGAAGCTGGAGCACTAAACGCTAGAAAGTTCTCTCCCTGGGCCACCTAAAGGGATGGTGAGTACATGACATTTTGGGGAACACTAGATTGAGGGTTTAATGTGCACAGGCTTGGAAAAAAGGTTTCCTGGCGCTGGTATTTTCCAAATGTGCAAAGGTAGCCTGATGACCTGGAGTAATTTCCTCATCTGTAAGACGGCCATAAAACCTTCTCCAACAGGACTGTCCTAAGTGCGGTTGGAGGTCCTATTTCACCTGGGTCCAGGGGGTACGCCTATGCTCTCTCTCTAGGCATCTCTGTATTCGACCTTTCAGTCCAGATGCCGAAGGCTGAGCACGGAATTATGCGTAACTGACACAAATTGTTCAGCTTATCTGAGCAGTTCTCTGTTTTTGATGTATTAGATAGTGATAATCTCTACTCTAGGAAATTAAGAGTGAACAAGCCTTATTAATTTCACAAAAGTGATGGCGGTGAGAACTGTACGCCATAGCTGGGAGCAATCTGAACATGGAATAAGTCTTCATCTTGCCCCCAGAGCATCGTGAGAAGCCAGGCAGTAACCTCTCACTCCCAGCTGGCTGTGGACACGCACAGTTGGCTGTGGACACGCACTTCAGATCAAAGTGAGCTCCTTCCCTACCTGTGACTCGCTTTCACCCACCTTTTGCCTTGGCATCACCTGAACACACCAGACACTAAATAGGTAACTCATTGGGGTGGCTTTGATTTTTCATAAGTCATCAGAATACACTTCTGTTTACACATCAGTGATGCCTCGAGTCCAGGAAGCAGGGTGAAAATATGGGAGTGGCCACACGTCACTCAAAGTTTACCAGTTCACTTCCTGTCGTGCAAATGCGAATCTCACCTCATTTTGAGAGTAGTTAGTCCTGAGTCATTTTTTAGGGGCAAAAGGCAGTCATTTTGGGGGAAAAGAATTGATGATTCCTTATTAGGACCCTAAGTCAACCCCTGGGCACAGACCTACGGCTGTCTGCTTTTCGTGAGGATGGAAATAATTTAGTCCTCGGGGCCAAGCATAACAGTCGTTTTATTACTCCTTTGAAGCGAAATTTAATTCTTTGTGTATTTTTTTTAAATACAGGACCTCAAAGAGGAAATCTCACATTAAGTGAAACACGAGACAGTTAACTATTGATCATAATATGTAGGTGTCCAGATGATGCCTTATAAGCTAGGTGGGTGTGTGGGTTGGTGGGAACTCTGTCCCAAGTCTGTTACATCATAGTTGATTTCAGTGGAAGACTGAACTTAGGATGATAAGAAACAGATCATATAAAGATCTGCTTACAAAAGCAGTTTAAAATACTTACTATTTGATTCTTTTCTTGTCTTTGGAGCTTGACTGAACATATGCATCCATGGTCATTCAGAGGCACTGAATGCTGTAAATAGTTCTCTTTTTGAATGACCTTCTGATTTTACTATTCATGTTCCCTTTCTACTAGGGAAAGACAATAAAAAAAAAAAAAACTAAGTAGGTGACAGGAACACAGTGA